GCGACATGAATGGCGCACGCGCTGCAAAGGAAGACCGCAACATGTCAGTGGCCAGCCGTTCAGCGCGTCTTTGAACGTAGCGCCGTTGGGTCGCGGCTCGGGCGGTCCTCTTCTCTTCCGCCATACGCGCATACCGAGCCAGTACCGAACGGTACTGGTGTTGGTTATCCTCGCGCAGCGGCATGAGGCCAAGGTGGAAGTTGGTGAGCGCAAAGGTAAGACGTTGAATTCCGTCGAAGAACTTGTGATCCCAAACGTACGTACTGAGTGATATCTTCCACAGGAGACAGACGCGACCAAAGAAGTTCTCCACGATGACGCGGTGCGAAGCCACAGCAGCGTTGCGGTCAAGGTCGGCGCGGTCAAGGGTTCCCCGCACAGGCCGCTTCTTTGGGTGGATGGCACGAATCGTGTGCGACAGACCCACATACCCCAAGTCCACGAGAACAGCCCACATGGCTGGGTGAGTCTGGAACTGTTCGCCGTTGTCGTTGACTTGTACTTCCTCAGGGCGCTTGGACAGTGCGGAGACGTGCAAGTCGTGGCGGTTGCGGAACACGGTCAAGTCATGCACTGAACCAGGTTCGTGCGGGCTCATATCGACCAGCAGTCCTTGAGGAGACACTGACGCTTCAATCTTCAGGCCGTAGAGCTTGTGCTTGCCACTGTAGTAGTGCTTCTGTTCCCCAAAGCGCCCCGACGGTCGGTGCGACGGCTGGAACTTGACGTCAGTAGCGTACTTCGCGTACGGGTAGTGCGCAAAGGTAGTACCGCGGTCCATCAGTTCTTGCATGGTAGGCATCGTAACGAAGGCTTCGTACAGAGCAGGGGAGGCGATGTCGATAACACGCATGATAATCTTCTCCAATGTTGGGGCCTTTAGGTCGAAGTCGACTGCATGTTTGTCCCATGTCTGGTAGTGCTTTAGGATTACCAACGTCATGAACAGGGCGTCTTGTGGCGTCGTCTTTGGCTTCCTGCCTCGGCCGTCCATCCATCGAGCACATAGCGGTGCCTCAACGAATCCCCAGATTGTCTCAAACTCAGCTGGCGTGAAGTTGGTCAATGTGCGGAAGCTATCAGCACCACCCTCCTCAAGGACCTTGTCGATCACAGGGTTATTGGTCACAACGACGGCGTCGTCTTCGTCAGCGACGGCTCCGAACACGTTGAGGCAGTCCTCGAGATAGTGCTGGTCGGAGACTGCTTGTACTTGCAAGCGTTCCACCATGGATGCGACGTTAAACACCATAGCAGTCGTATTTGTTTGTGTGGTGTGGCTTGGTCGCCGGGGTGTGCAATTACGCGGGAACTTGTGGCAGCGACCAATTAAAAGGTGGCTCATGTTGCCTCTCATCGCTCTCTATAACGTTATATTTCATGTAGTTGAGCAGTTTCTGATCAAATCGGCGGTACATTACAAATGAACACGGTCTATACGCGAGATGTCAATCTATTCTCGAAATAGTTGATCATTAAGATACAAATCCATATATGAGCAAAAAGTGAATCATTTCCAAAATAACCACAGGATACTTCAAAATAGCTAGGTCTTTGAGCAGAAACCAACTATTTGAGCTGGAGGCCTAATG